TCTCAACTTGGTCGAGATATAGATGCACCATTATCATTATTTTTCGTCTGTCGCTAAAAGAAGATGGGCAAAAGACGTGGTTAAGAAGAACTGGTACCTAATAGATTCGGCGAAGGCGAGTAGCAGTGCGTAAGATAATTTTTACTTTACCGAATACATACGTATATATAGAGTAATATACGTAGTATAGGGAAACTTGTGTAATGCTGCGGAGAATAGATTTCGAGATTTCAACGGAAGTGCAGGGGTTCTCTAATACCGAAAACGTGTTTATTTTTTCAAAATATCCGCCCGTTTCTGAACACTACTAGCGCCTAAACCATGCGTAGAATTTTTCCTAAGTTGAAGAAAACTTTGTCCATCTGGCTCGCGTCAAAACTTTGAGATTTTGAAAAACATTCTTTAAAATTTGGGCGTACTTCACGAGAATCCCCAGGATCATTGTCAAACTTTTATCAAAAACAGCTCCAATTTTTTTTCTGTAAATTTCTTGTAAAAATAAGAGTAAAATAAAGGAGACATATGCCCTATATTCACTGATAACTCTGAAATTTTCGAAAATTATAAAAGTTTTAAAAGTTATTTTATCCGGCGTCTTCCTACAAGAAAAAATTATTTTTCGTATTTAGTTCTTTCATTAATATTATGCACATGCGTCCATCCAGCGGGGGAAGGTCACCGCCACCTACTGCGACTAAACATGCACTTCACTTACGGGACTAATGATGGGCCGTTGGCGAGCTCGGTATCACTAATCAACCATGCGAGCAAGTAAACAAGCAAGTCGTGTACATGCTGCCTTTCCGACGGTTGCAGCTGCGAGAGGTGACGGAGGCCCACGTGGCCGAGGGGTCGGCAGCGCCCGCGTTCAGTCAGAGCGAGGCCTCTGCGGGCGGCGACCCGGCAGCCGGCAAGGTTCTGAAGCTCACTCGGCGCGTGCACCAGGTACAGTTATTGGTATTCATCCATCCATCCATCCATCCATCCATCCATCCATCCATCCATCTATCCATCTATCCATCCATCTATTCATCTATGCATCTATCTATCTATCTATCCATCCATCTATCCATCCATCTATCCATCCATCTATCCATCCATCTATCCATCCATCTATCCATATATCCATCTATCCACCTATCTATCGATCTATCCATCCATCTATCCATCCATCTATCCATCCATCCATCCATCCATCCATCCATCTATCCATCTATCTATCTTTTTTTAACGAAGGGAACTGTGGGAATCTTCAAAAGACGAAGAGGAGCCCGCACTCCTCAACAGTGTGAGATTTTTACCCAGTAAAACCACAAACCCTTTGTGTTCCTGGCCTTATCCGCCCTGGAACCGCAGTTATGCATTACTTCAGGATGGTGCCAGCTGTATTACTTCGAGGTGTTATTC